GATAGAAATATTAAGTGGAATATTAAGGGTTTTACTATAGTGACATATTAAAGGAAGGCTAGGAGAGGGACTGCCTTTGGGTGACTAAGTGAAACTTTTGTACGGGTCGTAATTTTTTATATAGTAAGTGCTATTTGCTTTAAAATTTTTTTATATCAATACTGCAAATGGTAAAATAATTATTTTGTTTTTTATAAATCAGAAACTGGAACAAGCAAATTATAGATCTATATATACTTAATATAAATTTGATCTATTTTCATTAAGTGTAGCTTGTTTCAGGGATATATGTAGAGTAATTATAAACTTAATTATAAAATTGAGTTTAAAATAAAAATTGAGTTATAAATATATTTTTACTAGAGTAATAAGTATATTATATTTTACAATATAATATATAATTATATTATCGGTAACAGTGGTAACCAAAACTATTACAGAGTTGTGAGGCTACGTGATGATGAATAAATATAATAATAATAAAAAAAGACATAATAAATGCAAAATTTAAATAAATTTGTAAATAAAAAGTAAATAGATATCATTATTATTCTGTATTTATATATTTTAAGTGAATTTGATCGAAATTTTAGTTTCATGATTTTGGTTATGTTTATGAACTAATTGATTTTTCATTAATTTTATAAATACTCTTACACTTTTATCATTAACAATAAACAGAAAAGTAGACCTATCATCTTTATTTATTTTACACATATGATAGTGAAACTAGTTTTGTACTTCCTATAGTGTGGTTTTTTTTATTTTTATTTTACAACAGATTTTACTGTTACCTACAAATTCTTAAAATAATGCTTACTATAATGGTTATATCTTATATAATAATGATAATTATTTTAAGATTTTATGTTTAAAGTAATGAAATCCTAAATAAATCTCTGAGCTAGTAATATTTCGTATGTTTTTATGGCCAGGTTCAGGCAAATGTTATTTGACAACATTTTAACATAAGAGTCATCAAGCAGAAATCTAGACTGGAGTTGGAGATTTTTAGATTTAATTATATATGTTTAGCTTAGATATTACATCATATTTATAGCTGATAAGAAAATAAAATTACAAATTTATAAAAAAAACTTTTGAGCTCATAGTTAAAAATAGTTATTATATTAAATTGAAAATTAATTATATAATCTCGAATAAAAGCCTTACGGCATTAAAACTTCGATAAATGAAATAATTAAGAGTTATTTTTCCATATTTATGATCGACAATGACGAAAAACCAATAGCTCTTAATCAAAAATATAATAATATAATGACAATTTAACAATAATTAAAACATATATTGTATGAGTATAATATATATGTAGATATGTATACATTCTTCATTAAAAATTATTGAATTAATACGAAAAGACTAAAAGTTATATATATAAAAGGTATTTCTCGACACATTTTAGAACACATGACTCATGTTTCGGGTCAAAATACGGGTAGCCGACCACGACACAAAAATGGAAAATATATATAACACATAAAACCAATTTTTTTTTTAATAATATATTTCGCTTCTTGTGACTGACATGACATGGGCTACCGCTTGACATAATATAAATAATAATAATAATAATTCTATATTTAAGAAATTATTATATACATCAGGGAAAAGAATAGAAAAAATGAATACCGGCCAAGATGTTATAATATATTTCTTAATGGTGTATTTACATCATTCCTGAAGGTCCCGCCCACGAGGACACACTGTAAATTGAAGAAATGTACATATTCCGTGCTTGTGATTAATATGTATTTATAAAAGTTGTGTTGAATGAGTTCCACGAGCATAAGATCGGGATAAAAAAAAAATGATAATAATAAATAGATATTTGGCAGATATTATCCACAATATACCAGGTATCAGAAACCTGCGGCTCCTTAACTTGTAATCTATGGTTCTTTGGAAAACGCATTTATACCAAGACCCATAAAATACAAATTAAAGGTCGATTATAATTTTTTTTTTTTTATAGATTACGATATAATTGTTTGTATAGATCTTATTTTTACTTATATTCCATAGTAATAATATTTCAGAATTTCTTAGTAATGATGTTTATTTCAGATAAAAATAAAATAATATTTTATCTAAAATGACCTGAAAAAAAAAATTGTTCAAATATGTGCGGCTCTCTGAACATCATGGTCTTGTAACTTTAAAAAAAAAATGACTTCATTCTACGAAAAAGTTCCTGACCCCTGTTATATACTTTAATGAGTAGCCTAGGAATCTTTTTCAGTGGACAAGATTTATTGTATTTGATGAAAAGTATGAAGTTATATATTTCGAGTTTATATATAAAGTAAACTAAACTACTATGACATAATAAACAAATATTATATAGGACTTGAAGTAATGTATTAAAAATCTTAAACTTAACATTTAAAAAATATATTTGTTATATATAAGCGTGAGTAGCTTTTGTAAAATTCCTGGGTAATGTATCGAATACTAAATTTTGGCTGTAATGTATAGTTAAAATGTTTTATAGATGTTATATTTTATTTCGTTCAATCTCAATTGTAATAAAAAATAATTTTCATAAACAAATATAATCATAAGTTAAACACACATATATATATTATACTAAATTTGCATTTTTATTTTATTTTTATTAATCTAAGTTAAAATAATTAAGGTTTGGAAATTTTAATTTAAGTATATATTATCGTTTAATTATATTATTCGTGAAACATAAATTTTGAAATATAGATACATTTTTAATTTTTTTTTTAGATTCATTTTACGCAATTATAAGTGTTTTTATAATATTGTAATTACAATAACATTCGTAGCATTTCAAATAATATCATAAAATTAGGATAGTTAAATCGAAATTATTGACAAGCGGTTTGTTTTGAAAATAAACAATGTCCATGCTAATATTATCTAGAGTATGTGAACAATAATAATATGTAATCATTTTTCTTTACGACCGTTGTTCCGACGAATCAATACACGAACGCGCGTTTCAAATAGTATACAGTATACATATAACATTATTCGTGTAATATCACATGAAATATTACGTTAATACGTCGTTAAAATCGACTTGCACCCCTTCAGTAATACCAGAGGAATGCGTGTTTCGATTATCAGACACTATATTCGTTATTAATACGGTTTATTGCCGTATTATATATAAAGTATATTATTATGAAAGAAAACACCGTTATTATGTTATTGTGTATTAGAACCATGAGGTATAATAATATGACTACGAAAGAAACGATTTTATTTACACGCGTTTTATTTGGAATTCCAATAGTTAGTTTGAAAGTAATATCTCTGGGAACTTTGTAATATTCTCTATATTATATGTATATATAATTTATAAAATTCCGTAATTTAATTACCAACAATATTTTGGAAGGTATACTTACCCACGCGTTTCTCAGTGACGGTCGATACTTTATACTCGCAATAACAGTGTGCGTGTGTGTGTGTGTAGGCGATCATGTGTCGGTTTTGGACCCAGATTGTTGTACTGTATTGAGAAGGGATGAAATAAACTTTAACTTATACTCGATCGGCACGTTGAAAAACTAGCATTGAACAATTGATTTTATTTTTAAAAAAGTATTTATATTATTTTTAGTGGTTAAAGACGCCAAAAAATATACTCTGCAGGAATCTATTCATAATATCTATTTAAGGAATGGTTTGCGTACATGTGAGGAGTATTTCATTGGTAATGATAGTGATATCTGAGATAATTCTCAGTAGTCAATTAATAGAATTTATTGTTTTGATTACACTTCGTAATAATGTAGTAGACGATATTAGGACCAAAGCTATATAAAAATACGTCACTTTTAATAGAACATGTAAAATTCAGTCCATTCATAGTGTATATTATATTCTTAAGTTTAAAGTTTAAATTTTAAACATTTCATACAATTTTTAATATATCTTTATAATGTGCTGATACAAGATAATTATTAAAAGGATGCACCCCCGCATGTATTGTCTGCATTTTACTAACGTACAACATGGTAAATTTGCGTTAATCAAAATCTATTTAATGTTTTTAGCTTTAATATTAGAGTTAATTAATTTATTATTAAACTTAAAGATAAATATATAATCTATAACATATCATGAGATTTTATTAATATTTAATATTATAATTTTATAGTGATTTTTGAGAATTTTAAAATTGTGATATTTTACATAGTTATAACTCGCTTTAAATTTATAATATCAATAAAAGCTTATGAGATACACTAGGCTTGATTCTTATTTTTCTTATCTTTGTGTTTGATAATATGTTGATGTTGATAGCACAACATCAGTTTCATTGAAAACAATATTTTTTGTTTAACGTTTGACAACATAATATGCGGATGTAATATCTTTTGTATTAAATTTGTGTCATGGTAAATAATTTAAAAACAATATTAAAGTATATTGCATTAAGAAAATAAATAAACTAGTATATTTCGCTGAAAACGACGATCGCTTATTTCTTACATACTTAATTTAACCTCCACGCTATAAATTTTTCTTCTGCGAATATGAAAACTACTGAGACCATTGAAATATGATCTCTTCAAACTACTGTTTTAACCCGATTTAAAATTGATAGGATACCTACTTGATATTATTTCTATTCGAAAAATACTTTACGCTTATGGAAAATTCCTTTTTATCTAAAAGTATTTTCAAAAATAATTTTTATTAAAAATAAAAAGCTTCGTTTGGAACCTAAAATAAATTATTATTATCTTAGCTATTTCGGTTATATTTACAGGGTGATACTAAAGCATTGAAAAGGAAAAATAACTATGGAAAAATGAGAAAAAACAATATTAAAAAAAAAATGGTGTGATCTAATGACTTAAAATATTGTTAGAAAGCAATTATTTTCAACAAATTAATACATTGACAAAACCACTTTTTCGCTATATAATATATTCAATTCGAATATTTACATAGCATTTTTTACGATCATTAAAATCTGATGTTTTGTTTTTCAGAGGCACAAGCCGAGATAGCCGGTGCTTCCGAGAAGTATCTGATGTTGAATAGTCCGCTACATTTGGAATGTGTTGTCCAGCAGAGCCCCGTGGACCCGGTTTATATATTCTGGTACCATGACAGCCGAATGATCAACTACGACATCGACCGGGGCGTGAACGTCACGTCCGACTTACCTAACAAGCACAGCGCATTGTATATTGAACGCGCGTCTCGCGCCCATTCCGGTAACTACACGTGTGCACCGAGCAACGCGTTCCCTGCTAACACGGTCATACATATTCTAAATGGTAAGTACGACAATCATCGATCGTCTTCACGAGGGTACGATAAAAACGAGCGTGTTACCTTTAATAACAGGCATTCATCACACATAAAACGTAGACATTTTCGGCAGTTTGGTTTGGTAATTCATAACGTTATAGGTTTTTTTTTTATCGTGTTCTTGTTTGAATGAATTGAGTTTAAAAAACGGTTATACTGCAGTTGTTATTAGGCTGAAAATTAAACTATATAGGATTTTTGATTTTTGACAAATAGAAAATATCTTGTATGTATAAGTATGGAAAAAACCCGAATTTCGTTCAGTAGGACGAATACGATAGGAGATAGAATATGTGCGAGTTCTGATAGTACTATTCTATGAGAAGGGGCTGAAAAATCTATAATAACACAGTTGACACAACATTATAACAACATAATCAGGTGGTGTAAATCGTACAGTTGACGTGGGTATGTGCGATGTTGTATGAAGTGACGTTGTCACCACTCACTATAAAGTTAAAATGTGTCGGGAGTACTGGGGTAGTACGTGGGAATCATAAAACCGATTTTCTCGAAACATCAATGTTATTATTTATTTCTATTGTCTATAACAGTTTCAAAGTGTGTATATTCGAATATTGTGTATGATAAACTAATTAAAACGTGCACAATAGACAACATTCAAAATCAATCTATAATGTAATAGTATGAATTTTACGCACAGAATACGATACTTGCGGCAAAATTATTTTTGTTGTATATTATTGTTGTTCATATTTTGCATGCATTAAAAATATATTTATATATATATATATATATATATGTACCTAATCCTATATATTTGCTCTTCTTCAATACGAACGATAAATTAGATAAAATCATTTTCATCAAGCGCGACCCACTAAACTAAATAAACACGTATGCGACAAAATGTCTAAGTGAGTTAATAAAACTTTATATTATAGTCACATATATAATAATATTATTATAGTTTTTGTTTTAAATTAAATTCCGAACGCAAAGCCTCGAAGGCCATAACGTATGCGATGCAATAGATGATGAAAATAGCGATCGTAGCTATAAACAGAGTAGTTTGTGTAAGAAAATCGAAATTATAAAGATAATGGAATCAACGTTTAAACTTCACGTTTTTTTTTCTTCTCGTTTTTCTATCTCTCATTCGTCCCAACAATATTCACAATAAATGTAACAGACTCCGAATTTATGCTTAGTTAACATCTTATTTAAAACTAACCAGCCTGTTCAGATAAATTGTCTATGTAGATAAAAAAAAAAAAAATAAAAGATACTATGTATATTTTTTTATACGTTGGCATTACGTATACTAAAAAAATGGTATTTTGTTGTTACTAAAAAAATCAGAATAAAATGCCTAAGTTTTTTTTATATTTATTAAACATAATATTTTTACTAGGTAATCTTAAATTCTGAATAACTGTAACATTCACTACGACGGATTAAATTTATAACGATGTTTACTATGTATAACAAAATCATAACTTAAAATGTAACTAAATTGCTTGAAAAACATAAATGGTATGAATCATTACTCCATTATTTTTATTATATCGATTATAGAAAGAATAGTTTTTACTGCTATAAATTTATTAAACTATTCAGTAATTATTTATCATTAACTATTATTGGGCTTTACGTTTATATGTCCAATTGAATCTTTGTTCATTTTAGTCTATATATATAGATAACATAATTTCCTTATTGTCATTATTACATGAAATGTATTTTTGGTCTAAACATAATTGGGTTTTTAAAAGTTCTAATTAAATTTAATGATATTTATTTGACTTATCTACATAATATATTTGTATGTTTTTGAAATTTATAAGAATGATTATTATTAATTTTTTATTTTGATAGTTTATTCTTTTGTATTTCCTACGATTCGGTTCATAGTTATATTTAGTATATAAAAGGAAATATAATTCAAAACGATGCTTAGCTCTGCTTTATTGTTTTTGTATAATTATATAGAGTGCGCAAATTTAACTTTCATTACTATGAAAACTATGTGCTCTGGAAAAGTATATGAATAAATCAGACTGTAATAAAATATTTAAGATAAGAACATTATTTCATAATCCGCTGTGGAATTTTTTTCACTTTATCGTTTCTTAAATAAGATATAAATATTTAAAACACGATTAATTTTATATGCGTTTCAAATAAGTATCAAAAATGATTTGGCCATTTTTGAAATTGTTATCATTGTTGTAGTAAAGTATACGGGTTAGTATATTATTCGTGGCATAATCACGAAGAACATTTTTGTTTATTTTCCTTTATTATTATTGCATATATAATATATGTATATATAAGTTGTTAGTTGTATTTATTTTATTAATATTTACAAAAGAAATTTGTTTAATAAAGATTTTTAGAAAGGTGATCAATTCACATTTAAAAAGAAAAAAATGTATAATATCACTTAGTGTTGTGTTTTGATAAATTATATATTTTATTTGAACGGTTATTACTGTTTTTATAATCTGCAGTTAGTTCCATGTATATTAATAAATATAAAAAAATGAATTTATTAAATCCTTTCTTTAAAAAAAATATTATTCTATTCAAAGAAAATTACAGATCGTTATAGTAACTAATCAATATTAATTATATTAGTTCAGATAATTACATTTTGTAACATAATATTATATTTATTGACTATATACATATACTGTAGACCTCTGCTCACGGATTGTTTATATATCTTTCATAAAAACATATATTGTACTAATGAACTTCAATGGGGTGTAATAATAACTAAGAAATAAATAGTAAAAAGCACATTAAGTAGTATTCACAGATAAGGTACTTAGACTTATTATTGCATTTCAATTATTATTGAGATACCTGCATAACTCAAGAATTTAATATAATGTATAGACTACTGTTTAGATATTTCTATTTAGAATAAAATTACTGTATGATAATATAGATCAGTAGTAATCTTTTTAATATTGTGGAACACTTCATCTTCTAAAAAATATTCGCGGCACATTAATCTATACGTTTAACGATCCAGCTCCAGCCTATCTTTATGTTTGATATTTATCTGTTTTTACTAATTATCGATAATAATGTATATGTTTTTAAGACGATTCCATATTATTCGCAAAAACCTATTATATAATTTGTGCTCTGTACTTAAAATTATGATATTTTATGCCCTTCAAACTCCAAAGTCCAAATATACTTTAATATTTATACTTGCTCACTCGTACACCTTATCATAATCCCTTATCTAGTATTAATCATTCATTCTCGTAAAAAAGTTACTTATTTACTAGATGGTAAATAAAATCTAAGTTTATTTTCTTTCTCAGACACCAGTTGTCTGTGATAACTGAGATGGTTTATTGTGGTCAATTTAATAATCGTTCACGTTTTGCGAACCGGGAAATATCTATCTCGGTCGACAGGAAGGCCTATAACTAGTTATGAATCGTTTTTGTCGTCGCGCACTATATTATCAATACTGCTAAACTTTTTTTTTCTTCAACGGGTTAATCGTTAGTGAATATTTTCCTTTTTACCCGGCCGGTTCAAGACCGTCATTGTGGGGCGAACGACAGTCGACGTTGTAGAAGATACGTGCGCGTTCACACACGACTCCTAACTACGCGAACCAAATCTGTTTGGCATGTGACTGATGGGGTAGCTCCGGTGAATTTACCGAAACCCGGAAAGCATCCCCTCCTGTTGTCAAGGGCGGGATAGATGTGCGCATACGAAGAGAGTGTGCTCGTGAATGGATGATGGCATTGATAAATGAACGAAGCCAGTTTGTTCGAGCGAGCACACACCCACCCATAATACGTTCACAACGGATACTGGCTATACCCAATCCCTATTTTCTAATCTCTCAAACACGGCGTATTCGTGCTATATGCGTACACGAATAATAATAATATACGGTCGTCTTCGCACGGTGCGCTTTGGAGTAGAGGGCTGGGTGCACTAGTCGAAAACCACGTTACCTCTTCAGGACGAGGATTAGCCACGGGACAAAACGTAGAATATATCAGATTAAAACCTTTCACGCAAGCGCGAGCGTTCGGCAGTGAAAAAGAGCTCTGCAAGTCGTTTGAGTAGTATACTCGTGTGTGCAGAATTATCACTCGGACGGACTTAACTCTTTGTCGCTGCTAAATAATTATCGAAGAAACTGAATGTGCAAGCGCTCTCGTATTTACACACACACATATCATATATGAATACATTCATTGGAAAATTCTCTATGCAGTTTATTCTAACATTTTTTCTTTTAATAATGTATTTATTCAAAGTTATTTTTTCGGGATTCTTAATAATACTTAAGAACTATATTTTCAGTTACTTGCGATTTTGAAACCATTTAAGAATGTCCTGTGGCGATATACAAACTTCTTTTTTTCAAATAATAATATCCCTTTTCGAAAAGATTAATGCTGAACTACAAAAGAGTATTTTTTTCAATTTAATCAATTTTGTGTATTATGGATAATAAGTTCTCGATAATAGGTTTGGAAGTTAAAATAGTTGTAATGATTAGGAAATTATATACAATTAGTAATTATTTAAATATCAATATATTAAAGTTATATAAGCACCTACTACCTATATTATTTTTCGTCTTATAAAAAAATCTATTAAAATTGTTATTTTTAGAACCTTAAAGTTAATAACTTAAAAACAACTCAATCAGATTTTGATTTAGATAAATAAATTAATGTGTTTAAAAATGCATATTTTACGATAAAAAAGGGTGATTCTTATTGAAGAAAAAAAGTTTGTACACTGCAGAAAACTCTTTAAACGGTATACAAAATTTAAGCATGCTTATACATTTTAAAAATCGGGATTTGTATAAATCCATTAATAAAGGTTAAATAGTGGGAGGGGCGTGCATGTTTAGTGAATCACTCCGTATACATATATAATGGAATTTTCTCGAACGCATACGTATTACGACCTTCGTAATTGATTCTAGTGGATCCCCTCGAGG